GTAATCGCCATCCGTGCTTTCATACCTTACAAACTTCGGAATATAGCCATTCTCAAATCGCTATTCTTTGGAAATTCTTTTTCTTTTCTCTTCGTCATATTTGTTTTATATATCCTAACAAAATTCAAAATAAAATGACTCGTCTATTTATACATTTATTTGTTTGCTTGTGAACTTTAGCAAAGTTAACGAGCAATTTTAATCTAATCTCACTAATTGTAAACTTTACCGAAAATAGAATTGCACTGTTTTAAATGAAAATTTTGATTGATATTTGTGGTTTGCATCACAAAATAACTAAAAAGACTTCATTTAATTTAAAGAAAGTTGATTAAGTTAGCTAATTCTCCTTTTCAATAAACTTACAGATTGATAACTTCTGATCCCCGTCGATTTACTCATACAATTTTGCTAATCTTTCATAAATAAATAACAAATATTGTTTCTTTTAGCAAATTTCATTACGATATGCGTAATAAATACGATCTTTACAAGAAAATATGCTTAATTTTTTTGTCAGTGCAAATTCTCGATTTCAATTCAAATCTTGAAACCTCTCCTTCCTATTCAGCGATATATCGTTGATGTGTCCTTCCAATTATCTTACAAACCTCAAATCGCCATCCGTCCTTCCTTAGCATTACCTTTGAATTTTATGAAAAAAAGTTCATAACATATTTGATGCAGCGAGCAGGGAAATGTCAACCACCATTATATTCACTTTTTTCTAAAAATGAATGTTGCTTATTTATATATTATTTCTGTTTACTTTTTGACTGTATTTGTCTTTTTTCTACTTTTCGTAATATTTATTTTTGTGAAGTGTAAAGCAAAGTTCAAATAAGTTAACGAAGTGCATCCCTATACCATTTATTGGTTTTTGAAATTAAATTTTTTTAGGTAATTTAAAATATCTGTTATTCGATAATTTTCCTGTCGAAAAATTGAAATAAATTTACAATACAAAATATTTGTATGATCAAATTATTTCTGTATTTCTTTTCAACAGAATATGCTTCAATAATCCAATTCACAATTCTAAACAACACTATAAATGATTAAACTGACAATAACTCCCTTTTATCCTCGGTTTAATTCTCGAGGAATTTGACAATCGTTTATATTGTATGTCTGCATGTATCTTTGAATCAGTCTCTCATCTTTTACACGATCTTTCTTCGCTCACATCACTCTCTGTAACTCCTTTGTTCCAGTACTATCAATTGTCAACCACATCAAATGCACCGTCCCTCAACTGAAATATAGTCAATGTAACATATTGCACTGAAACGACACGGTCTCATCAACTGTGTTATCTTCAGTTATGGCTCAGTGAATTTCGTCTGTTCATTATTCAAATTTTTAAGAGATTACTTTAGTCATCAACAATCAAAAAGAAATCTTCCGTTGTTGACATCTCAGTTGTCACGTAATATTACCACGATCGTTTGCAGACTAAGAAACTACTTAATCAGAAATTTTCACGCTTCATTTTTTCTTTAAACTACAACATGAACAAAGCATGTAATATTGAAAAGTAAATATTTCAGTTGTCATCGAACCAATTAATATTCCGAATTTTTCGGATTCTACAAATATTGCTTCTGCATTTTTTCATTACAAATGTTTTATTGAAGCATCGTTTTTCAGAAAAGAAGTTTCAATAAACTTCCCATAGTAATATATTTTAGTTGAGGTATTAGGTTTTAGGCTGTACTTGACCATTTGATGTCAATAATGGCCCGTTAATATTTCGTCTTCTTTTCAAATTTATAAAAACGTAATGTGATGAACAGCTTTAGTGCTTTTATCGGTGTGATAGGTGAATTCGCGATAACACTACTCGTCTTTATATTTAGATAAATAAATCAATAAGTCAACTAATTAATTATGCATTAATTATGCGTATATATATGCATATCTGTTCCTGATTCGGTTTCATATTGTGATACAAGAAATTTTATTTTCCATTGCAATATACGAAAGTTACAAATTCACTAATATACAAAATATTCACAAAATAAAAGTATTAAATTGAAATGAAAAGAAATAAATATTCATGATCGTCTCAATCACAGTGATTTTATACTTAAAATTTGGGTAATTGCATTGGTGCGTGCTTAAGTGATTTGTTATTATTAATTTTCTCATCAAAGTGTTGAATTAATTTTTTGGAGCAAAGGAATTGTTTGATGATTTGTTGGACAATTATGGCACACGGTCGTTTAGTTAATTCATCTGACCAGCAATTTTCGAGTAGTGTTACTAAAGCCCTACCGTATTTATCTGAAATGATTTTCGATGAAAAAAGGCGAGAATTGAATAAGAGAAAAAGGAGAAGAAGATAAGAAGATGTCTGAATTTCACGCAAATTACATGTCCGCAAGGTTAAAATTTAAAAGCCAACAAACCTTTCGGTATATTGAGCTGCTCAATTTCAGGTCTCAATTTATGTACAACAACACCGTAAATGAGAATGTGCGGATGTATAGAGCTATATACGGTTTTCCACGTTAGAATCTCCCATAGAACTAAT